GGAAAAGATAAAAAGATAAAACTTGACAAGTGGTGTTGAGTTGTGATTTTTGCGAACCCTTTCTCTGTCATCTTCACCTCCTATTTATAGCCACCAGAAGTAACTGCCCAAAGAAACTGACGTGGAGTGACGGTTACTCACTCAACTACTATGAAGGTTACCCTAATGTTGGATGTGGGATCCTCTTCAGCCTTGACTTCCTCCTCTTGAGACATCAACCTCTGCTCTTGGCATCTCCTGTCGTAGTTTTGCTTATCCATAGAGTAAAAATGGCTAAGGCATAAAGAAATACCACTTACCACATATGGGTGGGTATTTGAATAACATGAGTTAAACATGGCAAAAAGTATTTCACCATTAGTATACTAAAGAGACCACCTGCTCACATGACCCCCTTGCCTTGGTCATACCATGGGAGTGTACATTGGTGACCCCCTCACCATACCATTGGGCATCCTCCATGACCCCACCACTATATCATCCTCATGGGAGCTGGCGTTGGTGACCCCTCACCCCTGATCAATGATGATGGACACCCCCCTTGCCACGTCCTGGAGGTGGTATGATGATGGCCACCCCCCTTGGTACCTCCTGGGGGTGGCTATCATTCTTCTTGCCTTAGCCAAATTCGGTCATGGCGCGCGTGGTGCCGTGGTGCCGTGGAGTAATGGGCCGAAAAACCCAAACTTCATGGCCCACTCAACTGATTTGAACTGATATGATTAAGTTGGCCTTATAAAGCCATTTAATCCCTTGTTTTTAACCGATGTGGTACAAGGTTAATTTTTATGGGTAAACAAATGCCCCCAACTACTTAGTGCATAAGAATTATGGACTAAGTAGTTAACATGTACTACCGAACTCTCATCGTCCAAGCCAAATTCTGATCCGCCACTATCTCCCTTGGCCACAAACTAGTGTTGGTCTCGAACCACAAAACCATATGTAAATAAATAAATAAAAGCCCCTCTCCCCTTCGGCTACTGCTAGCAAAATGCAGTGCATGCAAACTTCAATTATTGTTTCCATTGAACAGAAACATTGTCATGTAATTAATTTGGCCTATGGCCAATCAAGCCTTGCAATTCAATTTCTTAACCCCTCATGAAATCACCAAGAAAATTAAGGAGCTAATGCAGCCACGAATCACAGTTTGGCTAGAAGAAGAAACCAATCATGTTGCTCCTATGTTCCCTAGACTTCGCACCTTGCACTTCGGCACCAAGGCCAGAAAATACTGGATTTTTTTTTTAGATAATCAAGGTAAGAATAGGTACTTGCCATGTTTGGCAAGGCTTCTCAATTCCCTTCTCCTTATAGGACTCTACAATCAAATCCTTTCCTTAACCGAAAAGATTTACTTGCTCCAACTTCTAGCTCTATAAATAGATACTAATATCAACCTTCATTTTTCACAACTCACCATCAATTCACCTTCCAGAGAGTAGTAACCCGTGGCATCCAATCCTCTCCAAGTAAGTCAATTCTTACTTTCATATTATTATATGGGCCAACGACCATTTTTTTTTATTCTTTATTATGGTTTTTTTTTGGCTGCCCATGCATATATATATAATTGTACTCTTTTTTTTTGGCCGCCAATGTATATATATACTCATGCACGTGCATTTTATTTTCTTTTTTTTATATACATGGCCATTCATGCGCATATTTTATATTATTATTTTTGTTGGCCATTTTTTTTTTCACCGTACACCCATAGTCGTAGTACCACCCCCTAACTCCGAGCTTGTAATAATGTAGGATGACTAACTCCGAGCCAAACAAGCAAGAGATACAAAAAGCAACTAGCAAATACCAGAAGGAGTACGTGGCGTTATGTAAGAAACCAGGGTTGAAGATGGACTTCTTGGAAATGAAAAAGGATGGGGAGGGTTGGCTTGGGCCTTACCTCACTGATGAGAATACCCTCTCTGCTGCTACACTTGACCGGTACCCACTTGGGGGTAGCTTCCCTCTCTACCTCGAAGAAGAAATACCGCCTACCATGTTCTTTCGCCCAACCAAAAGCAAGAAACCAGTGTCCTCGTGGCCAAATAGTGATCCCATCTTCCTCAAGTGGTATAAGAGGTTGAAGGCTGTAACATCCCGAACCTTTCCCCGACAAGATACTGTCCGCTTTGGGCATCTACACCCGCACGGTTTTCGACTTGGGGTGCAATTCAGGGTGACTTCCCGTAAGGTCACCCATCCTTGTTGTGCTCCGCACTGAGCACGTTTAACTTCGGAGTTCTCACAAGAACTCCTCCATTACACCCCAAAATGCGTCTTGTCGGTTAAGGTCGGTTTCCTACTTATGAACCATGGATCTCTCCCGTGCTTTGTCGATGTGGGATTTGCCTAAGGTGTTACATACAACCCCCCTCGGGACTCAACGCCCTCGTTGAGGTTTGCCCCACCATCGTTCAAGAGGGACGCGGAGAGGCTCTGATACCACTTGTAACATCCCGAACCTTTCCCCGACAAGATACTGTCCGCTTTGGGCCTCTACACCCGCACGGTTTTCGACTTGGGGTGCAATTCAGGGTGACTTCCCGTAAGGTCACCCATCCTTGTTGTGCTCCGCACTGAGCACGTTTAACTTCGGAGTTCTCACAAGAACTCCTCCATTACACCCCAAAACGCGTCTTGTCAGTTAAGGTCGGTTTCCTACTTATGAACCATGGATCTCTCCCGTGCTTTGTCGATGTGGGATTTGCCTAAGGTGTTACAAAGGCTGACTCGACCACCAAGGCACAGTGGATGGCATTTGGCATTACTCGTCTATTGGCCCTTTGTGCTGCGATTCCGGATCCAGATGTTCAGCTATTCAAAGCTGCCTTGTGCTTCTGGTCTGTAGGCTCCAACTGTTTTGTCCTCCCCCCGGGTGCGATGACTATCACCCTAATGGACTTAGCCGCCCTCACTGGTTTGTCCTTAGGGGCCAAAGCACCAACAGAACCCACTCCCCTTGCTGAGCAAACTCCTATTTTGCCGCAATCCTTCACGAGTTTGCACCAGCAATACTTGCCCGCTGATGTAGGGGCAGCTATCACCCAGAAGGAGAGGGTGGCTTTCATCCACTACTGGTTATATAGGTTCATTATCTGCCCGACTCATGGATGTCCCCGCAGGTCTCTATCTCATATCTCGTACCAACTTTCCGATGGGATTCCTCGTGCTGATTTTCTGGAAATCATCTTGGCACATCTCTACCACGGCATGCACACCCTCATTCATCAACTCAAGAAGGGCGTCACCCCTACTGGCAGCGGTCCCCTATGGTTAGTGCTCCTTTGGATTTATGCTTATTTTCCAACAACACGGGGTGAACTTCCCCTCTTGGACCAAATGGACCCCAAGCCACATTCTTATGGCTTGTATTATGCGAAGGCTCCCTCTTTGATGCACAGCTTTGACAGCTACTTTGCTCAATTCTACAACTTAAAAAAGGGCTTCATATTTACCCCCTTTGCTAGTCGAGCTGTGGGCCCTTCCTCTTTCTCCATGACTTTCTCCGCATTCCCTGCTAAAGGAGAGCCTAAGACAAACTACGAGAGATTTGCTAGTCAATGGGTCAACTGGGTGGTAGCACGAGACCTCCTTCTCAACCCAACCAATGGAAAGAATGCAACTTATGTGGAGCCTTACAACCCTCACTATGTTGCAAGACAATTTGGCTTGATTCAAGGGTGGCCTTTGTTGAACCCGTTCTCACGCCAACTTGACACCCCCGGCGAGAGAAATCCATTACAATACAAGGAAGTGAAGAAACTTGAGGCATGGCATGCCTCTTTACTCTCTTCGGTTCCATTCACACCCTTCAAGTCAAGTCCATACTCCACTCCTCTTTTCAAGAGAGTGCTCTCAAAAACATTGGATGACCTAAAGCTCTTCACTGGTAATCCTCAAACCATCGTCAATGGCCTCCTTACCAATGTGCCCCAAGGGGAGGGCCCTGATGGCCAAACCTCGAGTAATGGTGGCAAGGGAAAAACTGGTCACACCCAAACATCCAACACATCATCGGCCAAACGCCCTACATGTAAGCCTTCTTCCCATTGTGTATTTATATGGCCTGCCTTTCGTTTCTCTTTATTTTCTCTAACCATGAATTTTTTTTTTGGTCATATAGCTTCCAAAAAATCTCATGGTCATATTCGACCAGCCAAGCAATCTTGTCCCCCACACAAACCCCAAACCAGTGCACATGTGAGTCCTCCCATTCCCCCTAGCTAGTATTCCTTATTTGTGATGACACCCCCTAACCACCTGTCTCCTTGTGTAGTCAGAGACAATGATGTCAGATGAAGATGAAGAAGAGCCTCCCTCTGACCCAGAGGAAGAGGAGGAGGAGGAAGAGAAGGAGGAGACCTCTGTTCTCAAGGGTGCTCGTAGTACTACCGGTACAGAGTCAGAGGGTGGTGACGACGAACCTACCGACGAAGGTTCTGAAGAAGGGGAGGTCGAGATCATAGAACACACGGGGAAAAACAAATGGGGTCTCCATTCATCTTCGTCTTCGCCCCAGCCTCATGATCCTCAACCCTCGGCCAACTTGGTGCCACACCCCCCTCGTCCTCCCACCTTGGGGGCTGGCTCTACCACCCTGGGGGCTGGCTCTACCACCCCCCTCCTCATACTAGGGGGTTCAGGGATGACTACAGGGGCAACTCCACCTACCACCACCATCCCTGGTCTCTCGGGATTTAATCAGTTTCCCTCCGGGCCTACCATATTGGACGCTCCTTACACACAAGTGGTACTTCTTTTCAAATTTCACCAACCAACTTGTTCTCAGGTATCCAAATAATTTCTTCATCAAATGCCAACTTTTAACTTCCATTTATACATACAGTTTGAGTAACACATTTCTCTCAGGTCCCCACAACGACTCCTTTCATGGAGGTGAAGGAGTAATGGTGGATGCCACCACCCACCAAATGACCCCTTTAATGGATGCAGCCGAGGAGGCGCAATACCCACACCCTACTGGCCGCATGGGTAATCCTTCAACACTTGAACAAGTAGAGACCCCCCTGGGCCTGGTAAGCATCACGTCCAAACCAAAGCCTCCTCTCTATTTTTTTTTTTATGATGAAGACACCAATATCTCACATATATACAACTTGCAGGGTGCCACCACTCTTAATGATGACCTCCAATTCCTACGAGACTTGGAGAGCCAATATCAGGTGGCTGCCACCAACCCTTTTGCCAACCCGCCTTCTTCATCCATTCATGAAGCCCTGGATGCCGTTGACAACTTCCTATCTTACACTTTGGACGAAGTCATAGGGGCTTTTGACTCTGCCTGGCCTGAACAATCACTTGCTCTTTTGTCCAAGCTCGAGCTTCACATCCCACTACCAGGTTTGAGCATGGATCACATGCTATCTATGCACACTGCTTCAGACACCATCAAATCATGTATTGGGGCTATCGAGCAGGCTACAAAGTTGAAGGATACCATGCTCCACAAAGAAAATGCTAGAGCCACCACTTCCACCTCCTTGCAAGGGAAGGTATCACAAGGCAAGGCCATGTCAAGTCAGGTTGCCACTCTTGAAGCCGAGAAAAATGCTCGCTCTTCTAGGATAGCTGAGTTGGAGGCCGAACTCAGTAGGCTTCGTGCAGAGGAGGCACAAGAGCAAATCCAGTCAGAGTCTCTAATTCAAAACTTCAACGTGTTGATGGGTGAAATTCGTGCTCTTGCTAACCAGGAGAAGACTCTTACTCCCATGAAGGAAATAGCCTTTCACCGAGCAAAAGCCGACCAAGAGGAGCGTGAAAACAAGGCCAAGCTCGTTAGACTGAGGGCCACCTTTGATGAGATCAAGAAGATCCTCCATCCTTGAAACTCGATTTTCATTTACGCCCCATGTTTGTTTTTCTTTTCCTTTCCATTATGAACAGTCGGCTTAGCCACTTTGTTGGCCTTTGTTTGATTTCCTTTCTTTCGATCGAATGAGTATGGTTTGATTTTTTTTTATTCCCTTATGCATACATGCCTTCTCATGTCTTTTTCCATCTCACATAAAGATCATGCCCCCCATGCCAACAAGACCACCAACACTCATGGTCAATCTTAAATCACGTGGCAGGTTATATTTTGAAACTATTGGGGGCCAGAACAACACCATGCCCCCCATGCCAATAACCATCCCCCCATGTCTTGTCGTGGGGTATGGTTCACATCTTAGCACCATTTTAAGGTTTGGCATGGTGTTAGGCCATCTTAGTGGCCTAGCACTCTCAAAACTTACAACAACCCACGTCCCACAGAGAAGGGACGTAAGGTTTCAAGTATTTTCCGTTGATTAAACGTTCATGGAACACTCCATCGAGATCCTTTAGTAAATAAGCTCCATTGGGACGAGTAGAATGAACAATGAAGGGTCCACGCCAATTAGGAGACCATTTACCAAACTTGGGATCCTTATCTCCAATGGGCAAATGAAGCTTCCATACCAACTCACCTTCCTCAAATGACTTGTGCTTGACTCTCTTATTGTAAGCACGAGCCACCTTGTCCTTTTGCACCCGGATATTATCGAGAGCTTTGAGTTGGAGTTCATCAAGATCACACAATTCCAACATCATGGACTCATAGTACTCAGATGGTGCTAGCTCATGCTGGCGCATGTATCTTAATGACTTAACAGTCACCTCCACCGGCAAGAATGCTTCATGGCCATAAGTTAGCATAAAAGGGGTCACCTTTGTACTACTACGTGGAGACATCCGATAAGCCCATAAAGCTTCCGATAAGACTTCATGCCACTTCCTCGGGTTATCCTCTATCATCTTAGACAGAATACCCTTCACCACTTTGTTAGAAGCTTCAGCTTGACCATTGGCTTGAGCATAGTAAGGAGTGGAGTGTATGATTTTGATGCCATGTTCTTTGGCAAAAGCCATCACTTCCCCTCCCGTGAACACGGTACCCTGGTAAGCTGTTATGGTGGCTGGCAAGCCGAACCTATGTATTATATTCTCTTTGATGAACTTGATGATTTCTCCTTGATTGACCACTGTCATTGGCTTGGCCTCCACCCACTTGGTGAAGTAATCAGTTGCCAAGATGACAAATGTATGTCTATCAGAAGATGGTGGATAAATCTTTCCAATCAAGTCCATGGCCCATCCCATGAAAGGTCGAGGCTTGATGATAGACTTCAAGTCGATGGCCGGAGCTCTTTGCACCGGGCCATGTCGTTGACAAGCCTCACACCCCTTAGCAAAAGCAGCACAATCTTCCCCGATGGATGGCCAGTAGTACCCATACCGGTGGAGTACCCATCTCATAGAAGGGCCTGCTTGATGAGCACCACATATCCCTTCATGAACCTCACCCATGGCTTGTAGGGCCTCCTCGCCCCCCAAGCACTTCAATAGTAAACCGTCTGGTCTCCTTTTGAATAAAACCTCATCCAACAAGACATAGTTCCTTGCCTTGAATTTGATGGCCCGATCCACATCCCCTGTTGGATTCTTCAAGTATGCTACCAAGGGGGTACGCCAGTCACTGGCCTCCTCTTCAATTGTAAACACGTCTACCCTTTGCTTAAGTCTCGCATGTAGGGGGTTGAGCGCTCGCACAAAAATTTGCTCTCCCCCTTCATGAGCAAACTCTTTGAACCCCGAAGCCAATTGTGCTAAGTAGTTGGCCTTCCCATTGTCCTGGCGAGGAACATACTTGATGGAGACATTATCAAAGTGGGTAATTAATATTTGGACATAGTCAAGATATGTCTCTAGTATGCAATTGATGCATCAAAATTCACCAAGTACTTGGTAGACTACCAGTTGGGAATCCCCTTGGATATTAACACTTTTGACTTTCAAGTCAACAAGCATCTCTAGCCCCACCACTAAAGCCTCATACTCTGCTTGATTGTTAGTACATGGGAGATCAAGTGTAAAGGCAAAATGCATGGCATGCCCTGATGGGGAAGTGAGGACCACGCCAGCACCCGCTCCAGACCGTGTCTTTGATCCGTCAAAGTATAAGGTCCAAGGGGCCTCCTCCACCATGTCTATTTCCACCAACTCAGCTGGCACATCCACACATGGGTGATCAGCTAAGAAGTCAGCCAATGCTTGGCCCTTTATGGCATTTTGAGGCACATACTGCAAGTTGAACTCAGATAGTGCAAGTGTCCACTTACCAATTCTCCCATGGATGATTGGCCGGGACAACATGTACTTTATTATATCAGTCTTACATATGAGTTGCACTTGAACAGGCATCAAGTAGTACCTTAGCTTCATACAAGAAAAATATAAGGCTAAACATAACTTCTCTACAGGGGAGTACTTTTGTTCTGCCTCGTTCAATAGTCTACTTAAGTAGTACACGGCCTGTTCAAGGCCAGAGTCATTATCTTGAGCCAACAGACACGCTACAGAGGTGTTTGGGCTGAAAGGTACAACTTCAATGGCCGATGTGGGATTGGAGAGTTCAGTACCGCCGGGGTTGCCAGGTACTTCTTGATGTCATCAAAGGCTTTTTGATGCTCTTGACGCCATACAAACTCATCTTCCTGCTTCAACTTCAACAAAGGAGAGAAGACTTGGGTTCGGCCAGCACAGTTCGAGATGAAACGTCGAATGTAGTTAACTTGGCCGAGGAACCTTTGAAGCTCTTTCTTATTACTTGGTGGCATGGCCTCAATGATGGCCTTGGTTTTGCTCTTATCAACCTCAATGCCACGTTGGCTCACAAGGAACCCTAAGAAGTCACCTGCAGACACACCAAATGCACACTTAAGTGGATTTAGCTTCAAGTTATGGCCTCTCATACGTAAGAAAACCATGCGAAGATGAGATAAGTGTTGACTTGTTACCTTAGACTTGACAACAATGTCATCCACATAGACTTCAACCAACTCACCAATCAAGTCATGAAAGATAGCATTCATGGCTCGTTGGTAAGTGGCACCAGCATTCTTCAACCCGAAGGGCATGACGAGCCACTCATAGCACCCTATGGCTCCAGGACATCTGAATGCGGTTTTGTGGATATCTTCCTCGGCTAAGTAGATCTGATTATAGCCCGAGTAACAATCCATGAAAGAAAAGATATTATGCCTAGTTACTGCATCAAGCAACATGTCCGCAATTGGCATGGGATATTCATCCTTAGGAGTGGCTAAGTTTAAATTTCTAAAATCTACACATACACGTATCTTGCCATTCTTCTTTCTGACTGGCACTACATTTGATAACCACTCCACATACCTGGCTGTCCTAATGAAGCCAGCTTTCAACAATCTTTCAATTTCTTTCTTAATCTCTGGCAAGACCTCATAAGCAAAACGTCTAGGCGGCTGTTTAAAGGGTTTGAAACCATCACTAATGGGTAATCTATGCTCTACTAACTTTCTATCTAGACCAGGCATCTCGTGATAATCCCATGCAAAACAATCCTTAAATTCTTTTAACAAATTGATTAACTCATACCTCTCGGCTTCGGGGAGCATGGCACTAATGAACGTAGGACGTGGGTCGTCCTCAGTGCCAAGATTGATCTCCTCCAACACATCACGTGATGTCATAGGCCTTTGGTCTTCTCCAGCTATACCCGGTACCTCGCCTTCTTCAGGCAAGTCATCTTCGGGAACACAGTCAGCCATCAACACCGCTTCCTCACAAGCTAACCTCTACTCGCATTGATAGATGGCTAACTTCTCCAACAAGGCCGTCACTTCGGCCTTGCCCACCACCTCGTCTCGAAGTGGTCTACTCATCATTGATGCTCGTTTCAGCTTTAGGTGGACCATCCAAAGCAATCATAGATGGTCTCACAATGTCGGCAAGGGGGTCGAGGCATGCCATGCTCAATATCTTAGCACTTGACATCACCACTGTGCACGACCCTCCATCCATACTCCTCACTTGTAGAGGCCCGAAGTCTCCATGATAGAGTGGAGCCTCGGCCACGTTAGCACCAACTGCAAAGGGGTTGGTGTCTGCTTGTACTACCTCCACCATTCCTTCTTTATTCCAAAACATCAAACACTGATGAAGTGAGGATGGGACACACTTGTTGGCATGAATCCAATCCCTTCCCAACAAGGCATTGTAGCTTATCGCTCCATCCACCACAAAGAAAGCTGACATTTTCTCTTGACTACCAACTCCAATTAACACCGGTAGTATCCCTCTTGCTGATGTTGATCCCCCATTGAAACTAGTAACGAAGATATCCGTGGGAATCAAATCGCTTGTAGTCTTTCCCAATTTTCTTAACAGTCTAGTGGGAATCACATTGACAGCAGCTCCATTGTCAACAAGGATTCTTGACATCGGCATACCATCCAACCTAGCCTTGATATACAGGGGCCTCAAATGCCTTAGCATACTTGGCTCTGGTTCCTTGAAAACCACTAAGTGACTTAACTCATCACTTGTGTTTTCCTCCTTCATGACCTCTTTCCCTTTCAAGGTGGCTAATTGCAAGACTTCCTCTTCTCTGGTCCAACTTTCTTCCTTTGCTGCCGAACCCTCGACCTCACCATCAAACTCCCAACCCCAAGAAGGGTTCTGAATGGGTGAGGACGATGAAGCTTCAGGACCCTGGTATAACACATAAAAAGGGTATCTCCCATCATCTTCACCAAGCAAACCAACACTCTTATGGCCTGCCTCATGAAGTTCCTTCAAGAGTTGCTGGGAACTCTTGCCTTGTCTTGCCACCTCAGTAGCTAGATCAATCCTACTCCCCAATCGAGCCATCCTAACACCCCATGGCTCATCACTTGCTTCCAAACGAGCAAATGCCTCGGTTAACTCAGCAACAGACCCATCTGTGTCTTCAGCTTCTTCTACTACCTCTTCTTCCTCCACATACCTA